ACGTCACGCATCCTTGATCTATAAGTTGTGCAAATTTCAACGGGTTAGGTGCAACGGTCTGGCCTGTAGTCCACGCAAAGCACCACCAAGTCGGGACCTCGGTAACGGACAGACGCACCCTCCTCAAATAGTTACGAGCGAGCGAGCGCAGCGAGCGAAGCGAAGTCTTTTCAATATAAGGGGAAAATCTCAGTATGAGCGGCCCGGCCCGGCCCGGCCCGGCCTGTAATGCTTTTGAGAGGCTTTTATCTCAGCAACCGCTGGACCGATTGGCCTGCGGTCTTTTTTTTGCTGGGTAGCCCCATCCCTTCTACCCCGTAATTGACATCATTTTGATACATCTCAGTGACCGTCGTGGCACGTGCCACGTGAAAAGTCAAAGGTGTTCAAGCTGTTTTGCAAAAGTAGTGATTTTGAGAGGCTCATATCTCACCAGCCGCTTGGGCGATCGTCTTGCGGTATTTTTTGTAGGATAGATGCATCCTTTCTACCAAAGGTCGGGTACTCTTGATCTATGTGAGTGACCCCACCCAAAATGCAAAAAGAAGAGGTGCCAAATTTGTTCCCATTTCAATAACTCGGTAATTACTGGGGCGATTTCGCTGAAACTTGGCATACAGGTAGGCACCCACTAGGCAATGCATTTCCATGTGTTGCAGTTAGGGAGCTACTGCACGTGCGCACGTGCAGGGGGCGCTTCCAGATCTTGAGAACGGCTGGGCCGATTGCGCTCAAATTTGGTACACGGTTGGGGACCGGTTAGTAGGGTGCCGTGTAAAAGTCAGTTTGGACCCCGTTTGCACGTGCGCACGTGCAGAATGCCGCTTCCAGATCTCAGGAACGGCTGGGCCGATTGCGTTCAAATTTGGCACACCGCTAGCGACCGGTTAGAAGGGTGCTTTGCACAAGCCCGTTGGAAGTACCCTCTCGCCCTTCAGCACGTGCAGGGCTCACTATCTCGCTCGCTCGTTCTTCGCCTAAAAGGCGTTTTACTGGTAATATTGATTTTAAATTTGCCCCTCACTGTAAACGTCTCTTTGAACACAGCACGAGAACTGCTAGCTGAATTACTGAGAAAACTGGTTGGCGCACATTGTATTGGAGATATGAATCTTTCAAAATAAGTTTTGAACACTGACGATGTACAGCCCACCGCTAAAGTAATGTAGGGTTTTACCAATCTCAACGGTTGGCTTTGACTGGCGATTGTTTAATGCGGAGTGATCGAAAAGTAGATGTCAATAGCTAAAGTTGCAGCTGCAAGGGTGCCGATACATATAAGCTACATTCAAAGTTTCATTGTAGTCTGGTTAATCGTTCCTAAGCATCAGAAGCAGAACATACCCATGTCTGCAACCCCACATTACTTCTGCTGTGGACTGTACCTAACTTTAATGTTAAACGCCGTGCAATTGATTCGTGTCCAGACATAATCCCTGAGAGGTCGTCTATCACTGTGGAGCTGTAGGTATGGGCAAATACAAGCTATGAGTCTGTGAAATAGGTCAAATATCTATACTGGATCATTTTGTAAATTGTTACTAGCACCATTGGCATCTTTTACAACATCACGGACGGAGATATAAGCTTGCAACAAACCCTATGTAAACGCGTCTAGTAAGGGGCAGACTTACAATAAACGAACATAGGTACGTTAACCTTCTCCGTAACTATTGGTTTTCAACTTATAACCTTTTAAGTGCCTCATCATTGAGGTATATAGGTATAAATTTCCACAAAACCTGCGCAGGAATGTTTGAGATTAGATATGGCATTTTTGTGTCAAGCCAGTTTGGGTTAAAACTAATACACCAAAACCTAACCTAAAAAAAAAATGTTTTCTAGCATGTTAGTTTCGAGACAAAACAATGAGACAATGTGCCGCCAATGGTAATATCCGCTGGCGAAGGCCAGTAGACAGTAGGTGCTCACAAAAATACGATGGAGGTTTTAGTAGCAACTCTCAGCCCGAGCTTCATGACAGCACATATCAGCGTACTCGCGGGCCATCGTCATTTCGCCGACCTCATCTGGACCGGCTCGCCAGCGCCGCCATTGCCTCGGGTGCGTATAACGAGTATCGAACCGGACGCTGACTGTCACAGCAGAAGGGCTCTCCTGTGACACTCTCCCCCGAACGACCGCCGTCGATAAAAACGGATTCCATAAAACCACCTGACATGTGATACGCTTTCCAATTTTGAGCTCATTGGCATGTAAGGACACGATGATGTGGTTCATCGAAAGACCCATTTTGGAACGTACTTCATTTTATGGGTACCTAATAGATTCCATCATGTGATATGACCGGTCAGTTTCCTTCTGAACACGCAAAAAAGTTGACGTGTGCAATGTCTCGAGTTATTCCATCAATGACGATAATATTATTCGATGGTTGATACCCCATCGAACCATTCCGTCAGCTCTCTCTCTCTCTCTCTCTCTCTCTCTCTCTCTCTCTCTCTCTCTCTCTCTCTCTCTCTCTCTCTCTCTCTCTCTCTCTCTCTCTCTCTCTCTCTCTCTCTCTCTCTCTCTCTCTCTCTCTCTCTCTCTCTCTCTCTCTCTCTCTCTCTCTCTCTCTCTCTCTCTCTCTCTCTCTCTCTCTCTCTCTCTCTCTCTCTCTCTCTCTCTCTCTCTCTCTCTCTCTCTCTCTCTCTCTCTCTCTCTCTCTCTCTCTCTCTCTCTCTCTCTCTCTCTCTCTCTCTCTCTCTCTCTCTCTCTCTCTCTCTCTCCTCTCTCTCTCTCTCTCTCTCTCTCTCTCTCTCTCTCTCTCTCTCTCTCTCTCTCTCTCTCTCTCTCCTCTCTCTCTCTCTCTCTCTCTCTCTCTCTCTCTCTCTCTCTCTCTCTCTCTCTCTCTCTCTCTCTCTCTCTCTCTCTCTCTCTCTCTCTCTCCTCTCTCTCTCTCTCTCTCTCTCTCTCTCTCTCTCTCTCTCTCTCTCTCTCTCTCTCTCTCTCTCTCTCTCTCTCTCTCTCTCTCTCTCTCTCTCTCTCTCTCTCTCTCTCTCTCTCTCTCTCTCTCTCTCTCTCTCTCTCTCTCTCTCTCTCTCTCTCTCTCTCTCTCTCTCTCTCTCTCTCTCTCTCTCTCTCTCTCTCTCTCTCTCTCTCTCTCTCTCTCTCTCTCTCTCTCTCTCTCTCTCTCTCTCTCTCTCTCTCTCTCTCTCTCTCTCTCTCTCTCTCTCTCTCTCTCTCTCTCTCTCTCTCTCTCTCTCTCTCTCTCTCTCTCTCTCTCTCTCTCTCTCTCTCTCTCTCTCTCTCTCTCTCTCTCTCTCTCTCTCTCTCTCTCTCTCTCTCTCTCTCTCTCTCTCTCTCTCTCTCTCTCTCTCTCTCTCTCTCTCTCTCTCTCTCTCTCTCTCTCTCTCTCTCTCTCTCTCTCTCTCTCTCTCTCTCTCTCTCTCTCTCTCTCTCTCTCTCTCTCTCTCTCTCTCTCTCTCTCTCTCTCTCTCTCTCTCTCTCTCTCTCTCTCTCTCTCTCTCTCTCTCTCTCTCTCTCTCTCTCTCTCTCTCTCTCTCTCTCTCTCTCTCTCTCTCTCTCTCTCTTAACGCCCTCGTGTTATCCATAGCAATGCTTACTTTTTAGCATGCTCATGCTACCTACTCTTATTTCTTATTACTACCCACGCCGACCTATCAACACTCGCCAAATGACCCTAGTACTCACCAGGGACCCGCCGTCCACCAAACGAACGTTAACCCGCGCCCCACTGGGGGGGGGCTATTTATAGCCCCCCCTCCCGTTTTCCTGCAATAACTTCCAAACCGCTTGACGTATCGACGCCAAACTTTCAGAACCTTCGGCTGCATCAATTTGACACCTTGTGTCAAAATTTGAACTTCGTACCTACCATAGGTCGGCCGGAAATGACGTCAGAGTGACGTCATGTTCGGCCGATTTCGACGCAAAACATTGAACCACGGCAATCGCTCCCAAGAGCTCAGTTTTTAAGCTAGATCCAATTTCTTTGCATGAGAGGACTCAGAATAGACTGCGCTATCAAACTGCTATCTCGGATTTTCGAAATTTTGAACATTTTGAAAATTTTATATAATAAAATTCAAAATTTATATTTTCACATTTTTTTCAAAAACTTTTTGACTTTTCGAAAAAACCGGAATATATGTGATAGAACGCATTATTATGACTAACTCTAGCAAGTTTTAGCTGAATATCTTCAAAAATGGCCAAGTTATACGCATTATTGCAAAAAATTAACAATTATTAATTTTTCAAATCAATTTTTCAGCATGAATTTGACATCGTACGCCAATATAAATAGCACCATCGTGTTCCTGAGCTCAAACTGCATCCAATAGACACCTTTTTTGTTGAAAAATTTTAACTTCAAAATTTGACCTTTTTTGACCTGAAAGTGACCTGACCTGAGCTAAATTTGACTCAAAATGACCTCGAATGACACAGACGACATCAAATTCGAAATGTTTGGCCTAAATGGACCATAAAACATGTGTCACGTGACCGACGGATGATATAATATTTTCGTGACCTGTGATGACCTGACCTTGACCTGAAAATCAAAGTACAAGTTTGGTACCCTCAGAGTATCTAGAGCATCTGTTCACGAGTGTGTGAACCAAAAATGAGCCTGATCTGACTTGTAAGACGGCGGCCAGAGCCCAAAACGTGAAGAAGCTAAAATGCTAACAATTTTTACTTTGACCTGACCTGTGACGTCATCGGTGACCTCGAGGTCAATGAAATTAGGTTTCGCTCGACAGTTTTTGCGGGGCTATCAGACGCCGTTTGAATTTTGACGATCGGCCCAGTAGTTTCGGAGTTAGGAGGGGGGGCTATGAATAGCCCCCCCCCCCAGTAGGGCGTGTTATACACAGACCCCAGTGGGGCGCGGGTTAATGCCCACCTATTTCTGCCGAACACGACCCTAGTTCCGGGCGAGTGCGGTCCGGGGAGACTCGGCCCACGGGGAACACGAGTGCTCCTAGCCCGCCCGGGCCGGTGACACCCTCTCGTTACTCGCTGCTCGTTACCCCGCGGCTCCCATTGCGCCGGCGGTAACCAGCTGCGGGTGTCATCGTCGGAGGGACAATAGGAGGATCAGGGAAGGATCATTGGAGGATCGTCGGAGGTCCTCGACGCTGCGTCGACGGGCGACCGACGCTCGCGCTGCGAGCCGCCAGTCGGACTGCCGACGACACTGCGGGCTGCGAGCCGGGGCTGCGGACCGCCAACGGCTGGGAGGAACCGCCGGACTGCCGACGACTGAGCGGGCCTTCACGGACAGCTCGTGAGAATTAACCAAGGTGAGGCATAGTGGCGAGAGAGAGAGAGAGAGAGAGAGAGAGAGAGAGAGAGAGAGGAGAGAGAGAGAGAGAGAGAGAGAGGAGAGAGAGAGAGAGAGAGAGAGAGAGAGAGAGAGGAGTGAGGGAGGGAGGGAGAGATAAAAAATGTTTGGCTGTGAATCATGAGTAGACATTGAACCCAAGCCTCTTTAGACCAATCTAAGTATTCTGTTTACCAGCAAATTTTTGCGGCCTAAGGAAAGATAGCTCTGATATCTCATCCTAATTTGTGTGATGTCTGACTACCGAATCAGCGAACTTTTTAATTTGCACGTCAATAGACCAGCAATTGACGTGCAGTCAGCATCTAATAGACATATAGGCATAAATGCCTTATTATTTTAATTTATATGTAATTATGCCGTTCATTTATGGAAACAAAACATGAAAGAGTTGTAACGATATACCTATAGGTACTCAAATTTAGCATCATCTGACGTAGAATGGTGATGTATCTATATATCTGTGAGCATTTATTCTTGCACAAGGGTGAATCATCCTAGACTCTGAATGGAGAATATCCCCGCTGCATTTTATCGTAATTTTACCACGCGCAACTACATATATAGCTATTTTATTAAAACCTCTTATATCATATTTCCTATGTATGTATCTCTAGCATAATCAAGTCAACACATATATAGGTATAGACGTAACATTCCGACATGAACAAACTTATGTTCGACCCTTGCAAACAGGATGCCTTACATCGCGGGTAGTATAAGACTTCCCTAAGTTGTCACCTGGTAATTGATTACGTTTGGTAGATGTTGCACTTCCTAACCGGTTTTCTGCGATGCCACTCGACCATTTTATCTATTTGCCCTGACTAGCAACAATGCATTGCAATAAAACCTCGTCTGGAATGTGAAGTATGCAGACATGTAAAACGGCAGAGGCGCATTGCAACCAATTTTCTTGGAAACTTACGGTATTTTTATGCTGCGAGACATCTGATAGTCGGCAAACGCTCAGCATATGAGTCGCACTGCAATTAGTTTCGAATGAATTAATTCATGTTTGCCGAAGAAGATCAGATCCAAAATACAAATGAACAGCTAATGCATGTCAAAAGAAAAATATGTTATACTCTTACATAAATCGCTAGAATTTATATTCCACAGGGATCAAACAATCTACAGGGATAATCACCGATACCTACCCCTTAGAATAATAAATTCAGCTTATTTCCCTCTCCCGGTGATGTGTTATGAAGTAGACATTCGTCTGATATTTGTGTTCAGGTTACTGTCCACAGATGCATGCGTGCAATGTGAGTTTAATTGCTGTTTTTACGTTCTTTTTACGAAAATCATCAAAGCGGAAATTAAATCAAGTTAGCGCTATGTGGCAAAAAAAAAACGATAACTCACAGTTCTCACGACTAAAACTTCTGATAATAGCTATCTGATATGCAAAAGTCTGTGCTCGGAAGTAACATTTATTCCTAAATAAATGCAACTTTGTTTTCCTTATTTGTTCATGAGATGAACGAAAACAGAACATCGTTGCAGTATGGGTGCAGTTTTTTTCCAGCATCATTCCAGCTACTCCAGATCGAAGCATGCCATAAATTGGAGCTCCAAACGTAGGTAGGGTAAGGTGCCTAATTAGCGACCCCCTTAATTTGAACCGTCGTTGCTCACGCTCTGTGGGTGCCACTGTATTACTGGCTTGATTTTCGGAGAGATCGGTCATTTTTCTATTAAAATATAGTCATTTTCTGCCCCAATATTCACTAACTTATTTGTAGTGAGCATTCTGGCAAACCATTGCAAAAAACGCTAATAGGGAACTCTTCCCGATTAGCGACCGGGGAGGGTCGCTAATAAGTCTATGGGTTTCCCCATATAAAAAATGGCAAAAAATGCGACGCCTGAAAAGATGAAATATGATCTCAAAAAGGTAACCTATACGCAAAGCACTCAATCACTCGAACAGGAACGTCTATCGAACACCTTTTACGTAAGTAAAAACTGATCACGTGATGCACCGAAGGCGAAACGAAGGCGGAAACCCAAATTTTGCGGGCTATCTCGTATGATATTCGAGGTCCGCGCTGAATTCGGCACCCCTGCAGTCGGTGACGACATTTGGCATTCCCTGCCACACATTGCAAACTTCAGCAACACCTCATTTTCATTTCTCTTTTTTCCCCTTTCTTTCCCTTCTTGAGCTATTTGCGACCATGTCAGGCGCAAATAGGAAATATGAGTTGCGACACATTTTTAACCGCCATGCTGTGCACAGTTGAGCGATTCACTATGGGAAAGCGGCAATCAATTGAAAAAGGAATGTCGATTCAGAATAAAAAAGGTGCATCATCCTAATGTGCATCGCTTTTCATCAGAGAGGGCCCAAACAGACACGTTTTGGATAAGAAAATCGTCATTTTTATTTAAACTCACCTGAAACGTCCCACCAGAAACATCGACGATCGGAAAATAATTTAATTTGATAACCAAAGTATGGCGGACCTTTTGACGATGTTTTTACCCCGTTTTCTCATGCCAGTTTTTCTGTAGGGAGGTAGGTCGCAAATCGGAAAGGGTCGCTAATTAGGCACCTTACCCTACTTTTCTTATCGGATTTAGATTTATTGTCCCTTTGTTTTCCCGTTCTTACTCTCTCATTGAAATTGAAATCTCACGAGAAGAAGATCACAATTTCTGGTCTCTGACCCTCAAACACCCGATTCTGATTAGTCATTTCTCGTTGACCCTCAGTCACCCGTCGCTGACCCTCAGTCACCAGTCTCTAACCCCTAGTCACCAGTCTCTAACCCTCAGTCACTATAGTCCCTGACCTGTTGAATGCCTGTCTCTATACCCCTCCTCAGTAACCTGTCTCTGAACCTCAGTCGCCTGCTGCTCTCTATGAACCCCAGTCACTTGTCTTTGAGCCTCCGCCACCTGTCTCTAACCCTCAGTCCCCTGTCTCCAGACCTCAGTCACCAGTCTTTGATCCGTCGGCTGCCACTCTGAACCTTCGACAACTTGTCTCTGATCCATCAGTCAGCCGTCTCTGATCCGTCAGTCTCTGACCCTCAGTCACCTGTCTCTGATCCATCAGTCAGCCGTCTCTGCCCCTCATTCACCTGTGTCTAACGCTCAGTTTCATGTCTCTGCCCCTCAGTCACCCATTTCTGATCCGTCGGCTGCCCGTCGGCTACCTGTCTCTATCCATCAGTCATCTGTCCCTCGTCCTCAGTCACCGGCGTCTGACCTCTGACAGTCTGACAGTCTCTGGCCCTCAGTCACCTGTACCCCTCAGTCGCCAGTCTCTGATCCGTCAGTCACCGGCGTCTCTGATCCGTCAGTTTCTGACCCTCGACTCTCGCGGCTAATGGCTGTACATCGGCCTCTGACCGAGTGTCACTCATGTGCCCGAGTCACCTCACCTATAGTGCCGGGCTTTCCCCGAGAGAGTTCTGATACCGGCCCCTATAGCGCTATTGGTGCGCTGATAGTGACCAGATATTGGATTTGGCCGTCAGACGTGCGTCAAAGGTAGGAGCGTCGACCAGTGCAGCGGCGGACGAATAAGGCGCGCCTCCGGGTTAGTCGCGCGCAGACTGCGATGCGGGATGAGATCTTTGCGCGGCGATCTCGCCCGCTTTGTTGTACGGCACAGCGCAATATCAAATGCCCGGTATGTGTCTATTGTACGATGTCCGGGAGACAGGCACATTGTTCTATGCTGGGACTCAATTTTCCAATGTCTGCATCATTCCAAAGCCGCCATGTTTCCTTTTATCGGGTATACAGTTTCTGGAATCCAGATTCAGACGATATTCGACTTCATCTGTAAGCTCATAATAAATCCAAAACGTTATTCATTTTTTCTTTTCAAATTCGTTACGCATCATGCGACTGAGACTAGTTTCATGACTTCCATCCAAACTCCAAACCACAGCATTACTCCCGGAAGCGAGCTGAGCGGTTCTGAGAGGGCAAACGCGTACATATACCTACAAGAGGAACGCGAACGATTTGTTCGAACTGTGTCGTGACTATTGACTATGCTTCAACTCTTAATCCCATCGCAATTTACGGACGCGGGTGGTGCATAAAGAATGACGCACATATCTATGACTTGATGGCGACGATAAACCGAAGTGCACCGTAGCATGTGGAAACGTATTTGCTCCCGTCCAGGGAATCTTTTTTGAAACTGGTGTCGGTCACATCGACACTATAACTCAACATGGAATAATGCATCGTTTTGTTGGAACTAGTCAGACTTAGGCCAGCCGTTAAGTAACTACAGACAGTGAGGATCATCAATCATGAGCGCGGGAACAATCATTTGTCAGCGTTTGTTGGATCGATGGTTCGATTTTGTCCCCCGTTTTCATCCATCGTTTTATTTAGAACCTCGTTAGCTACGCTAACTAACCAGATCGCCATTGAACTCCGAAGAGCATAAAAAACTGGCACATATGTCTCCGTCTACATATAGCATCTCATTTGCCATGCTCCGTAATGAGTGTCGCCCTTTTCACGTGCGCTAATTAGCACAAATTTGGACGCTACCAAACGAGGACGGCTGTGCTCGGCTGGTGCCAGGTCCGTCCGATTTTGTGCTGTTGTGCGTCATCCGGCGGCTCAATCCGGATGTTGATGCGTCGATAATGCTCATTATCACCACATTATATTCAGAGACTAGTGTTGAACGAACGCTTCGTCCCGGTTCTTATGTCCTGGGTATAATAACAAGGCAGAAACTTCTCAGTCTCCTTCGTTGCACAAGATAATGCCACTTCAGTAAACAAATTACGCTGCTTACCTGTGAAGCAGCTTTTAATGAATTTCTGCATAGTAATAAATGTCTGTATAGGATAACTTTACGCAAAAACAAGGCTTTAGATGCGCATAAAAACAAGCTTGGCAATGTTATCCATTTAACCTTCGCCCCAGTGGGGGGGGGGGGCATATGTTACCACCCTGCCGCGTTTTTTGCGTATAAATGAAAAACCGCGGCGCGTAGCGCCGCGCCGCTTGGCATAGCTTTTCGTACATCAATTTTGGACAATGTGTGAAATTTTTGACCCCAGGTCATGTCAGGTCAGGTCACCAGGTCAAGTTAACTGACCAGGCCTAAAAAAAAGTTTGCAATCATGTCCAGTCTGCAGTGTTTGTCAGAAAGGTTTTAAACTTGGTGGATTGCATGATGTTATGGGCGCCTACAATTTGTATATCTCGGATTTTTTATATCCGTGACCTAAGGTCAGGTCAGTGGCGTGACCTTACCATTATAAGTCAATGGAGAAAAATGAAAATGCCTCTAGATACGTGTGTACGCAAGGGAGCAGTCCAAATATTTCAGAATCACAATGATTTGGCCCACTCGTGATGACCAAGGTGTCATTTTTGCTGATAGCCTCAACAAAGGTCATCCGAGGTCATTTGAGGCTACAAACAGATTTTTGCCAATAACTCGCGATTGGAAAGAGATAGAACGCTGGGGATAGCTTCATTGTGTTTGTCTTGTTGAGACGCATCGAATGATATGCAACATGACCTTTTCCGGTAAGGTCATGACCTTGACCTGAGGTCAAATTTTCAGGTTGACCTTTCAAGGTCAAATTATAGTTCATTCGACGCGTTTCGTCGAGAGGATTACGATTCTGGCAATAGAAATGTCGTGGCTTTTTCTAGTCAAAAGTTATTGTCGAAAAACACTTTGCGAAAAAACAGCTATTTTTGGAGTTTTTGCCCTCTGGAGGCTACACCGTTGACCTGAGGTCAATTTTGATGATGACCTTATCGAAAGAAGAGTTCAAAAGCTATCGATTTCTTTTCCATGCGTTTTTCTAGCTATCATAGTTCCTGAGATATAAGCATGTTTTCTGAAAAATATAATGACATTTGGCAAATTTTGACCTTTGATGACCTCCAGTGACCCCAATATTGCTCCAAGATGAAAAATGACCAAATACTTTCAAACGTACGCATTGAGAGCTATCGACTGCTTTTTTGCCGCGTCTTTCTAGCCCTCTTAGTTTTTGAGTTAGAGGTGGGTGGTAACATATGCCCCCCCCCCCCCCCCCCCACTAGGGCGAAGTTGGTTGAGACCGCCACTGGGGCGCGGGTTAAACGGCGTCATTATTCCTTCGGAATTACGTTTCGTAATGAATTTATAATTTAACTGAGAATTCGCCAACGTCAAACCAATCTTTCCTCCACAAAGTCACTATCGAAATCCGATGGCTGCCGTTCAGCCCCACGTCCGCCTTTCCGGAAATTAGTTTATTTACTGAGGGAGCACGACCGGGCGACCGCTGACGCACTCGAGGAGAAATTCTCCCGCGGAGCTATAACGGACTGGACATGCGCCGTCATTTGTTCGCGGAAATGTCAAGGAAAAAACTTGTTATTAGCTGGGGCACTGACAGCGGACACGATGGGGGCGACTTCTGAGCCGGAAACAAGCCCCCACACTGCAGGTCTGGGGGGCGGAAGGCCTGGTGGCTAAGCTCTTTGTAGTGTGAACTAGTGCATTGCTGCCTCTGGCCAGTGCAGTGTCGTGAGAGATGTGTCCATTACCTATAGACTGCCGAGTGGAGAGACTGACTATGTATAGCTGGTTGTTTGTAGCTGCGCCATCGAGTAGAGACGTTCTCCGGATGTCTCCTTCGTGGGAGCATTGGTATTCCGCTCAGTCCCAGGCCTATGCACCGTACGCATATGGGTGGTATGTAGCATAAAAGCGAAAGCCATAGCCATAGGTATATGATACTTGATAGCATCCAAAGTTGCTACCCATGCTATTAATCTGGATACAATTCTATTTACCGAAACACCAAACGTTAAAGGCATTACTGTCACTGATCACATTTAATGCTATCTTCCAGTTTACTTCCAATTATTTCGCAACTTTATCTACATAAAAAAATCAGCACGTCAGCATTTACAAATTTAAATGCATAAGTAAGTTGCTGGCTGGTAGCGCTGGTATTGGCCGACCTGTCCCGCAGTCTGACGTCACTCGTATGTCCCGCAATATGACGTCACTGTGTGTCCCACAGATGGCGCTGGTGGTGGCCGAGCTGTCCCGTAACCTGAGCCGGGCTCCGTCGGACGGCGAGCCCACCTACTGCGGTGCCGAGATGGCCGCCTTTAGCGACCTGTACCGGCGCGCGCACGGCTACCTGGCGCTGGCCACCTGCCTGTTCGGCCTCACCACCAACCTCTTCAGCATCGCCGTGCTGACGCGCAAGACGATGGCCTCGCCGACCAACGCCATCCAGACCGGCCTGGCAGTGGCTGATGTGATGGTGATGCTGATGTACATCCCGTTCGCGCTGCACTACTATGTCGAAGCGTTCGGCGAGTCGCGCCACACCTACGCCTGGGCGGTGTACACGCTGGCGTTTGTGCACGTGACGCAGGTGTTCCACACGGTCTCCATCTGGCTGACAGTGGCGCTGGCCGTCTGGCGCTACCTGGCCATCGGACACCCGTCGCTGAACCGCGAGTGGTGCTCCATGCGCAACACGTTCGTCTCGATTGTGTCCGTGTACATCGCGTGCCCGGTGATCTGCGCGCCCACCTACCTCACTTACGCCATCACACCGGAGCGGGGAGACCAGCAGCGCTTCGTCGTCAACTTCAGCGAGCTCAGCCAGCGCCACGACCGCCTGCTGGAGAAGCTCAACTTCTGGGTGTACAGTGTGCACGTCAAGCTGCTGCCGTGCGCCATCCTGACCATCTTCAGCTCCTGTCTCATCTCGGAGCTGTACAAGGCCAAGCGGCGGAAGGCGAGCCTGCTGCGCCGCTCCACGGCCGGCGCCGCCAAGGTGTCAGCGGCCGAGCGGCACGCGGTGCGCACCACGCGCATGCTGCTGGCCGTGTTGCTGCTCTTCTTGGCCACAGAGCTGCCGCAGGGCGTGCTCTCCCTGCTCTCCGGAGTCCTCGGGAAGGGGTTCCACGACCAGTGCTACAACAAGCTCGGCGACCTGATGGACATCCTGGCGCTGGTCAACTCTTCGATGAACTTTATCTTCTACTGTTCCATGTCGTCCCAGTTCAGGATGACGTTTAGTAGCCTGTTTCGCCCGGCCCGCTGGGTGCCCCGACCGTTCAAGACGGCGCAGACCACTGAGGGGACCGAATGTACGCGCGTTTAGACCCAGATGACTGGCTAAACTGGCTGAACTAATGTGTCCGACTGAATAAGTGTATGTGGCCTGTCGAAAGCAACAGTGGGCCGGCCTTGGGCCTGATCCCGTTCGTTGGTGTGTGCTGTGTCATGAAGGAGGTGAACGGTTCAAATAGCTGATAGCTAGTCATGTAAACGACGTACAAAGTGAAAAATCTCCGGCGGTTTCTCTAAATGATGCTGTGTGTCTATGTTTGTAAGTGCAACAATATGTGTCAAATAATTTTGTGTGTGGCGATTGCGAATGAACGGTTTCTTGCTAGCATAGTACATAGATACCAACATACACTGGCGGATCCAGGGGGGGGCCACGGGGGGCCATGGCCCCCCCCCAAAGGCCTAAAGTGGCCTGTTTGGCCCCCCCCCCAAAACGCCAGAAAAATTGCTAAGAAAATATACCTTGATGGAGGTTTTTAGCCACTTGGTGAAGTAAGCTTTCCACAGCATAATATGGAAGCAATATAGTAGCAGTGAGGGTCAGTCAAAAGTTGCGCGAGCGGAGTCGACCTTAAAAAAAAGACTGTTGTTGGCACGTGTTTATGGCGCGGCAGCTGGTAGTTGGCGGTGTTTCGCGTGGTGTGGCATCACTGGCGGATCTGGGGGGAGGGGGGGGGGGGCACGGGAGCCTGAGGTGCCCCTGACAGGCCCATGGTGCCCTTGCTAGGCCTGTGGTGCCCCTGGACCCTGGCAGGCCTGTGGTACAGTCCACAGCAGAAGTAATGTGGGGTTTCAGTCATGGGTATGTTCTGCTTCTGAAGCTTAGGAACGATTAGCCAGACTACAATGAAACTTTGAATGTAGCTTATATGTATCGTCACCCTTGCAGCTGCAACTTTAGCTATTGACATCTTCTTTTCAATCACTTCGCATTAAACAATCGCCAGTCAAAGCCAACCGTTGAGTTTGGTAAAACCCTACATTACTTTAGCGGTGGGCTGTACCTCTGGCGGGCCTAGGGTGCCCCTGCTAGGCTGCTGATGCCCCTGGGACCTGACAGGACTGTGGTGCCCCTGACAAGCCTAAAGTGCCCCCAACAGGCCCGTGATGCCCCCGACAGGCCCAAGGTGCCCCTGCGTGATGCCGTGATGCCTGCGAGGCCGGTGGTGCCCCCTGCGAGGCCGGTGGGCCCCTGACAGGCCCATGGTGCCCCTGCTAGACCGGTGGTGCCCCTGGCAGGCCTGTGGTGCCCCTGCTAGGCCGCTGGTGCCCCTGGGCCCTGACAGGACTGTGGTGCCCCTGACAGGCCCAAGGTGCCCCTGCAAGGCCGGTGGTGCCCCTGTAAGGCCTGTGGTACCCCTGCTAGGCCTCTGGTGTCCCTGACAGGCCCATGGTGCCCCTGCGAGGCCGGCGGCGCCCCTGGCAGGTCTCTGGTGTCCCTGACAGACCTGGGGTGCCCCTGACAAGCCTGTGGGGCCCCTCACAGGCCCGTGGTGCCCTTGCTAGGCCTGTGGTGCCCCTGGCGGGCTGGTGGTGCCCCTACTAGGCCGGTGGTGCCCCTGACAGGCCTGTGGTGCCCCCGGGCACCAAGGGGGTCATGACCCATGTGGCCCCCTTGGATCTGCCACTGATGCATAATATATTGATTTGTAAAGGCGTTATGGCTTATGCAATATGCGATTGCAGGCACTTGGTATCCCTCACTTATCCCTCATTGGGGCTCTGGCGGGCTCCTGAGGGCCCACGTCTATCTCCGGGAGCCCATATAGACAGGCTCCTCTGGGTCCTTTCAGTACACTATAGCATAAGAGGTCTCCATGCGAGTCCTATGCATACATCTGAGGGCGTACCCTGATGCCTGAGGTACCCAACTGCAGCTCCAATGGTCTCTTCTTACACTGGCGGATCCAGGGAGGGGGCATTTAGGGCCATGCCCCCTTCCCAGAGGCCTAAAGTGGCCCGTTTTCCCCCTCCCCCAAACGATAATGAAACATAATTCAATCAGGGCGTGGCCCAGGAGCCGAGTTAGACAGGGCTGTTTTACCACCTCCCGGCCCGCAAAGGGACCCAAGCACTGACTCGAAGCGGGTTAAAGAGACCCTCCCACCTTCAAAAAAGTTAATGAATTGGCATGAAAGTGATGTCGCTAGGTTCAGAAAGGGCGAAAACGAATATCTACCAAATTTTATCGAAAAATATTCACCGGTTTTCAAGAGATTAGACTTTTATTTTTGTTTACTTTTTGGGATATCCGCTGCTGTTCCTAGCGACTTTATTTGAAAGTGCGGCATTTGTTGCGCGCAAAGCAGCCTATACCACCGCATGCTACCAAATGTTTTAGTAAAATATTAAAAAATCATTAGATCTCCGCTGACGTCACACATTCAGAGGGGTATCCAAAAGCATTAGCCCCTCTGAATCAAAATGCTGCAATTTTGAAATTCAATATTTCCGATTTAAGGCATTTCTCGATGTTGTGAGTGCGTGCCGAAACCGGTAATTGTGAGCCAGGGACCCCATTTTGGCTATCTCAGCTCAAATCTAATGTTAAGGTGGGAGGGTCCCTTTAACTGGTCGATAAAAACAATGGTAAGTGTTTACAAAAGTAATATAAAGGCATGGGTCGGGTGGGATACCATTTATATATTTTTCTTTTTAGTTAAAAAAATTCATAGTGTCAGGGCTGTGACGAACAATAAGTGGCCTAAATCCGATGAGAAAACAGAATTTGGGGGTACCCTAGGTTTGGCTCCTGCATGAGTTGGCCCCCCCCCAAAAAAAAAACGCAAGCCTGGATCCGCCAGTGCCAACATAGATACCTATAGGCATTACAAACCCGTGTCTTTGGTGTTGTCGGGACTTTCATTGTTTTATTTTTATTTTTTAGTGTACTGCAGTCTGCATCTGTGAATGATAAAATCCATATTTCATAGTTACCAGCTGTACCGATACAGTGTTCGAAACAATTCGGTCAACATGGTTCGACAAAATATGAGATAACGACAAAATCATGGGTATGAGTACCGGCAATCACACACGCACTTGCTGCTTGGCGCTTGCATACACACTTTGCGCGGCTCCGATGCAATATAACTAAATTAGACGGGTCGGTCCCGGATGTAAACGGGGGCCGGACCTCCGCAGCGCCCTGGCGCTGCGGCGTCATTACGAGCCGAGAGAGATCGCTTACCGAAATATATTGTTCAGACTATAATACCGCACAGGCAAATGCTCTCAGAGACGCCATCCAGGTGCTGGCCAGCCGCCGCCTTTCACCCGGCGGGCACGCCTTTCCCGCCGGAGGCAACCCTCGACGGACTGTTCACACACCGCACTCTGGTTCTCCGGCCCCCTGCTCCACACGCCGGCGTACATCACGATTAGTTTTGCCCCTTACATAAGTGAACGGTGCGAACCTCCTAAGAACCGCTGCAAACGAGTCCATGATACTAAACGTCAAACTACTGGGCCGATTTTGGTGCGAAATTCTTCGCCATTTGACTTGCCGCAGTCTGAAACAAACAGTGTCCTTTCATTTTATGTTTGTTCCCATTTCTCGATTGGTCCACCTAGAGAAAACCGATAATAAATTTTCGATTATGACACCGGTTCAGACCACGGCGCGTCGAATGGTGAAGATTTTATTCAAACCAGATCAGTAATTCTGAAGCATGGGCTCGTCTGCAACGCTTTTTAGGCGTTTTGAACCGATTTAGTCCACTTAGTTTAAATCAATCAAAAAATTATCGAAAACGGCACCAATGGTACAGACAACGGCCGAAGCGGCGGAACACCTTCAATTAAAGGGGGACACTGCCGACTTTTGGTCCCATTCTTTCCATGCAACGCCCATAGGGCTAATGTTAAAATGCCAAAATCAAAGGGGGGCACGGTGCCCCGGTGCCCTCCCTGTTCCGCCGCCTATGGACAACGCCAACGGTGCGTCAAATGGTGCAACTTGTATTGAAATCAGTCCAGTAGTTTCGAAGCAAAGCCAAAGTCTCTTCTGCGATTAAGAAGATCGATGGCTCTGGACCGATTCGGTCATTTCGGTCGTGGACCAATTGCATAAAAAAACACGCACACACACGAAGAAAAGTACCGTTCCTACTTCCTACCACCATGCTATCGAAGTGAAGAAATTATTACGATCGGTCAGTAGATTCGGCGCATGAACTCATCCGCATATCTCGTCTCGTCTGCCTTTCAATCTTGCTTTCAATCACCTCCAATCTTTAAGTTGACCCTTCTAGGTCACCGAGGCGAGGCCACACAAGGTCGCAGCGCAGACCCACGATATTAGAAACCGCAAAAGAATTCACGTTTCTACGATTTGTTCGTTTGTTTTATTGCCTGTGTTGTAGGTACTTACCTAATCCAAATTCCAATCACCAATGTGCAGAAATTTTGATACTTCAATGTAATCGAGGCCAAACCCATATTCACTTTATTCTTGCTTTATTCAAAACATCTCATAAATCATATTCGCATTACGCATACAAAAGTTCGCATTTCGCAACGTTTTGCTTTTGCCTTGAATGGCGCGGGAGAATTTAGTGCAGTAGAATAAGGATAAAAAGAATGACAGTAAAATAGTGGTAAAATAAAACGTTTGACCACCGTTTGACAAACTTACGCAAAGTGGCGCAAAGTTTATCAAAGTTCGACAACTAATACGCATGTTGTTTTTCCGGCGCACGCTATAAGTTATGTAAAAATAAATATTATAACCATTATAACGTGTTTTGTGACTCGTGAGAGTGAGTAGCTTGGTTTATTCTTTGTTTGGTGTTATCTCTATACAATTATTGAAGGTAGGTTTGATGTGTCCCATCGGCTAATGGTTTATACCTACAACAACATGAATTTTGAGGTTTGAGGTTTCAACATTGAACTATGGGCCTGTTCCAGCGCCTCCAGTAGAAATTCTTGACTGGAGGCTCTACCAGAGGTTTCACTGGAGGCGCTGGAACGCAATCTGGAGATTTCTGGAGATTGGCGTCATAGATACCAAAAGAATTACGATTGTTCTCTCTTGAAACGCAAAATTTGTTTTCAATTTTAGTAAAAAAGATTAACAAAATTATAGCCATGTAATTTTCTTTACATTCAAGTTGTAAAATTCTCAGTCAGAAGTTCTTTGTTTATATTCGTGATTGTCACATGTGCGCCATAATTGTAGACCAGAGCCTCCAGAGAAAATTGGAGCTCCCAACTCTCTGGAGGCTACTGGAGGTTTCTGGAGCTTTGGCGAGAGCTTTCTGGAGCTTTCTGGAGGCGCTGGAACGCTCTCTGGAGGATTCTAGAGCTTTCTGGAGGTTTCTGGAGGCGCTGGAACAGGCCCATAATGTTGTTGGACGCAAGAGCCGAGCTGCTACACTGGCGGATCCAGGCTTGCGTTTTGGGGGGGGCCAACTCATGCAGGAGCCAAACCTAGGGTACCCCCAAATCCTGTTTTCTCATCGGATTTAGGCCACTTATTTTTCGTCAAAGCCCTGACACTATGAATTTTTTTTAACTAAAAAGAAAAATATATAAATGGTAGCCCAGCCGACCCATGCCTTTATATTACTTTGTAAACACTTACCATTGTTTTTATCGACCAGTTAAAGGGACCCTCCCACCTTAACATTAGATTTGAGCTGAGATAGCCAAAATGGGGTCCCTGGCTCACAATTACCGGTTTCGGCACGCACTCACAACATCGAGAAATGCCTTAAATCGGAAATATTGAATTTCAAAATTGCAGCATTTTGATTCAGAGGGGCTAATGCTTTTGGATACCCCTCTGAATGTGTGACGTCAGCGGAGATCTAATGATTTTTTAATATTTTACTAAAACGTTTGGTAGCATGCGGTGGTATAGGCTGCTTTGCGCGCAACAAATGCCGCACTTTCAAATAAAGTCGCTAGGAACAGCAGCGGATATCCCAAAAAGTAAACAAAAATAAAAGTCTAATCTCTTGAAAACCGGTGAATATTTTTCGATAAAATTTGGTAGATATTCGTTTTCGCCCTTTCTGAACCTAGCGACATCACTTTCATGCCAATTCATTAACTTTTTTGAAGGTGGGAGGGTCTCTTTAACCCGCTTCGAGTCAGTGCTTGGGTCCCTTTGCGGGCCCGGAGGTGGTAAAACAGCCCCGTCTAACTCGGCTCCTGGGCCACGCCCTGATTGAACTATGTTTCATTATCGTTTGGGGGAGGGGGAAAACGGGCCACTTTAGGCCTCTGGGAAGGGGGCATGGCCCTAAATGCCCCCTCCCTGGATCCGCCAGTGTAAGAAGAGACCATTGGAGCTGCAGTTGGGTACCTCAGACATCAGGGTACGCCCTCAGATGTATGTATAGGACTCGCATGGAGACCTCTTATGCTATAGTGTACTGAAAGGACCCAAAGGAGCCTGTCTATATGGGCTCCCGGAGATAGACGTGGGCCCTCAGGAGCCCGCCAGAGCCCCAATGAGGGATAAGTGAGGGATACCAAGTGCCTGCAATTGCATATTGCATAAGCCATACCGCCTTTACAAATCAATATATTATGCATCAGGGGCAGATCCAAGGGGGGCCACATGGGTCATGACCCCCTTGGTGCCCGGGGGCACCACAGGCCTGTCAGGGGCACCACCGGCCTAGTAGGGGCACCACCAGCCCGCCAGGGGCACCACAGGCCTAGCAAGGGCACCACGGGCCTGTGAGGGGCCCCACAGGCTTGTCAGGGGCACCCCAGGTCTGTCAGGGACACCAGAGACCTGCCAGGGGCGCCGCCGGCTTCGCAGGGGCACCATGGGCCGTCAGGGACACCAGAGGCCTAGCAGGGGTACCACAGGCCTTACAGGGGCACCACCGGCCTTGCAGGGGCACATTGGGCCTGTCAGGGGCACCACAGTCCTGTCAGGGCCCAGGGGCACCAGCGGCCTAGCAGGGGCACCACAGGCCTGCCAGGGGCACTACCGGTCTAGCAGGGGCACCATGGGCCTGTCAGGGGCCCCACCGGCCTCGCAGGGGGCACCACCGGCCTCGCAGGCATCACGGCATCACGCAGGGGCACCTTGGGCCTGTCGGGGGCATCACGGGCCTGTTGGGGGCACTTTAGGCTTGTCAGGGGCACCACAGTCCTGTCAGGTCCCAGGGGCATCAGCAGCCTAGCAGGGGCACCCTAGGCCCGCCAGAGGTACAGCCCACCGCTAAAGTAATGTAGGGTTTTACCAAACTCAACGGTTGGCTTTGACTGGCGATTGTTTAATGCAAAGTGATTGAAAAGAAGATGTCAATAGCTAAAGTTGCAGCTGCAAGGGTGACGATACATATAAGCTACATTCAAAGTTTCATTGTAGTCTGGCTAATCGTTCCTAACCTTCAGAAGCAGAACATACCCATGACTGAAATCCCACATTACTTCTGCTGTGGACTGTACCACAGGCCTGCCAGGGTCCAGGGGCACCACAGGCCTAGCAAGGGCACCACGGGCCTGTCAGGGGCACCTCAGGCTCCCGTGCCCCCCCCCCCCCCTCCCCCCCCCCAGATCCGCCAGTGATGCCACACCACGCGAATCACCACCAACTACCAGCTGCCGCGCCATAAACACGTGCCAACAACAGTCTTTTTTTAAGGTCGACTCCGCTCGCGCAACTTTTGACTGACCCTCACTGCTAATATATTGCTTCCATATTATGCTGTGGAAAGCTTTACTTCACCAAGTGGCTAAAAACCTCCATCAAGGTATATTTTCTTAGCAATTTTTCTGGCGTTTTGGGGGGGGCCAAACAGGCCACTTTAGGCCTTTGGGGGGGGGCCATGGCCCCCGTGGCCCCCCCCTGGATCCGCCAGTGAGCTGCTACGCGCCCTAACCCAAAACAACAACAACTCTATAATGTTTCAATGAAGTTAATTAAGTTTAAGAGTGTCAATTGAGGTCTTCCTCCTTATGCTTTTAGTGGTTTGGGCCCCCAGTTGGGACGACAGTGAACACAGGGCGCCTGGGGCGATTTGATCAAGGTTCATGAAGTTCACACGTGACGTTTAGCATATTGTAGAAGGCCCACGGAGGGGGAGAAGCTCCAAATGTCACGTGACTAATATGCTCTCTGGCGCCCTGTTTTCACTGGCGTCCCCCAGTTGGCCTTGCCCTGATTTTCGTGGAATGTGAGATTGCGATTCATGGTAGGACGTCATATCATATCAGAGTCCAAATTGCTAAGATTGCAGCATGAGTTTTTAGCAAATCTATCGTCATTGTCCACATGCTCAGAAATAATAAAGTAACCATAGAAAATCAAATCATATCAAACACTTGCATAAGAAGGTAAAATTTCAAGCCACATAATCTTATTGACTTCTCAGTTTGTCACTCCTGCTCCTCCCGCCTTACTACTGTGGCCTTTTCTTGAACTGCTGCAACCTCTTGGACCCTTCATACCATGAAGGGTGAAGTTCATAGGCCCGTTGCACATATTTGGTCTTTAAAGTATAAGTTGTATAAAGTTCATAGCGCTAGGCGCAGCGGTCTGGCCTGTACCACAGGTCACCATGTTCAATGTTGGGACTTGATCATGTACAAACGCACTTGCCTCAAATAGTAATATAGAATAGATCAGTTAGTAGGTTGGTCAGACTAAGTCAGACTCAGTTAGGATTTGTTCTTCAAGAGGCTTGATTTGATAAGTCTTACCTTATCTAATTTGCTGTGTCTTTGTTGTTTTCATTCTGATGCTCTTCATACATATCTCAGGCAAGTAATGAAATGGTGTCCTTGTGTCTGCACTCTGCAGTCTGCGCACAGTATGGGTTTTTAATGTTTTATTTGTCATCATATCCAATGAAAGTATTGATTTCAAAATTCAGCATAGACTACCTACTGTCTGCATTTTCACGTAAGTTTCCATCTTATTTGGCATGGAGAAGTAGATTCAGACCAAAAAAGTTTTATTTTGATAGGCAAAGGTCTGGAATTTCACCAATGTTCCCTTAAATTGTCATTGGCACTGCCATGCCATCCACTGGTGCTACAAAACTTAATTTTTGTTATGTCAGCATTTTGCGGTGCGGTGAAACAGTCCCCCTGATGATCTCCACAGACTGCCCCCTATCAGAAGAGCAATGTTTACCTGAATCTTTTTCCTGGGTTAAAAGTAAAATGTAGAAGTTATCTTAGGAATTCTTCATGATAACTTGATGCACCTCATATTATCTGGCATACATTTTGTGCAACTGGAACCAAGCTAGACACATTACCTCACCCCTGGCCGCATCACTCTGAGTACCACCATCTGCCACCTTCTGGGTGATGACTCTCCTTGGCTTTTATCCGTTAGCATCTTTTCTAATATCCAGTCAACAAGTTTTTCTGTGAATATACTCGTCTTACTAATATAACGTATCTCATCTGCTAGTCGTAGCCTTCTGTAGTCCTCGCATCCAGTCAGTGCTTTGTCGTGACATACTTATTTTACTAGTTTAACTTTATGGACGCAAAATGCACAACGCATTTGGCGTTTCCTGAAGCCCCAATAATCAAACATTTTTGTCCATTTTCCCTCTCTTTTTGTAGGAAATTGGTCCGTTCCCCTGCTTCATTATCCTTTTTATGGTTGATGTGTCGGTGCTGCTGTTCATACAAGTCTATTATTACATGGCTCGTATAATGGATACTGGGTGTGTAATAATTATGACTATTGGGCGCAACGTTCACCTTTAATTTGTTTCTGAGTTATTACTGGTTATGGTCCATCTCCATGACAATGGGCAATAGTAATTAGTAACCCACGCTGTTTTATTATTTTGTTCTCAGTAGTCACTCTTCTGTGCGGTGACATATTTACCTTTAGTGTCATTCATTTTTGGTTGACCAAGTATAAAAGTTTTTTATTTTAAAATATCAAAACATATTTTATTGTCCTCTGCTAGTGGCTACGCCTCGGGCAATAATGCTTGTTCAGATTTTTCAGAGGACAGTGGTTTCACAGATGGCAATATTTTTTTACTATTGGTTGCCATCCTATACAACATTCATGTATTGTTGCTCTTCCCTCACCCTGCCCCAGATATATGTGGACAGAATACGTCCTATTGCATTGATTATTTCTGGTTGTGTGACGTTTTTTATGCGATTTTAATGTTGCGTTTCTCCTCCAGGGTCGGTTCAGTGACGCAACGTCACTCCAGCCACCATGGCGTCGACGGCGGAGACCGAGGAGGAGACTTTCAGCCGCGGCGCCGTCGTGCGCATCAAGCTCCGTAACTTTCTGACGTACGACGAGGTGACTGTGAACCCGGGGCCGCGCCTCAACCTCCTCATCGGCCCGAACGGCTCCGGGAAGTCGACCGTGGTGGCCGCTCTGGTGCTGGGCCTGGCCGGCTCTCCGCAGATTCTCGGTCGCGCGCCGCAGCTCTCCCTCTACGTCAAGGAGGGCACCCAGGAGGGCTCCATCGAGCTGGAGCTCTTCGATCCGAATGGAAACCAGGTCATATCGCGCACCATACGTGGTAACCATAGCACGTGGGCACTGAATGGCGAAAAGGTCAAGGAGGAGCGTGTGAAGCGGGTTGTGGCGGACCTGAACATCCAGGTGGACAACTTGTGCCAGATTCTTCCGCAGGAGCGGGTCCAGGACTTTGTCAAGATGAATGCCCAAGCCCTGCTGGAGGGAACAGAGAAGGCAGTTGGCTATGCAGGAATGCACGAAGATCACGTGTTTCTTAAAGATAAGGACAGCACGAAGGAACTGCTGACACGGCAGGTAGCAGAGCACCGGTCGAAACTGGGTGAAGTGGAAGAAAACATAGAGACGCTCCAGGTAAGCGTGGATAACGACATGAAAAGGAAGAAGTTTGAGCGCACCGCCGCAAGACTGAGAGATCGGCGTGAGTGGCTCAAGTACGAGCTGGCACGGACCGAGACTGCCAGACTTCGCAAGGTGAAGGAGGACGCCGAAACGGAGCTGAATGAGGCCAAGAGGGCTCTTGAGCCGCGGAGACAACGGCTGGCTCTGTGCGAAAAAGAAGAAAAATCATTTCAACTGAAGCTGGACACCTGCAACGCTCAGCTCCGCGACGAACGCAAGGCGATGGAAGTCCAGAACAAACAAGCCAAAAAGTACGAGGTTGAAATAGAGAACTTCATCCAGAAGCAGGAAGAGCGGGAGACCCGTGAACAAGAGCGGCAACAGCGCGAGGCCGGGCTGCGCCAGAAGCTCGAAACTGTGCTTCGGGATCTAGCCAATGCCGAAGACCCTGGTCCCGCTCTAGAAGCTGAGATACGCGACTGCAACGCAGCTGTCAAGCAGCTGTCTGCCGGCGTGGGCAGATGTCAGGACGAACAGGAGGCGGCTAACCGCGAGTACAGCGAGCTGCAGGGTCGGGTGAATGGACTTAAGGAAGGCCTGAGACGTGTGCAGAGCGTCACCGATCAGAAACTCGAGCTGCTTCAGCGTCGCAACCGGGATGCGTACAACGCAGTGCTGTGGCTGCGCCAGAACCGCGACAAGTTCGCGCACCCCATCCACGAGCCCATGATTCTTCTGCTGGATGTGGACGACGTCCGGATGGCCAAGTACGTGCAGGCTGCCGTGCCCTGGACCGACCTGCTGGCGTTCACTTGCGAGACGCGGGCTGACATGAATCTGTTCCTGCAAGAGCTGCGGGAGCACCAGCGGCTGCGCGTGAGCTGCGTGCTCTCGGACCCGGCTGTATCGCTCGACTCTCTGCGGCCGCAGCGCACGCAGGAGCAGCTGCGCCAGCTGGGCTTCCAGGGCACCGTGGGTGACCTCTTCAGAGCCCCGGATGCGGTGCGTCGCTACCTCTACAAGACGCACAAGCTGCACAACATCCCTGTGGCTGACGTCGACGGAGAGGCAGCCACCCGGGTGTTGCGTGCCACACAAGGCCAGCAGGGCCTCAACTCGTACATGATCGGTGATCTCAAGTACCGCTCCGGTCAGTCGCAGTACGGCAGTCGGTTGCCGTGGACCTCCACGGAGCCGCTGGCGCGGCCAGACCAGCTCTTCACTCTCACGGCAGACACTGCGCGCGAGCGGGAGCTCTGTGGTCTGATCGAAGAGGCGCAGCGCAGACAGGAGGAGCTGGGCGGAGTTAGGGAGGCCGCGCAGGCTCGGCTGACCGAGCTCAACGGCCGGCTAGAGCAGGCGAGACGCGCCATAAGAGAGCTGACAGCACGGCGCGACAACCGACGCATGCTTGAGGGGCGGCGCAACACCACGGAACAATCGTTGCGAGAGTGCGAAAGGGCTAGTTGCGACCTTGCAGCGGAGGCGCGTCAGACGGCCTCGAAGATCGGCGGATGCTTGGACCAGCTGGCGAACGTGCAGAAGCAGCTGCTGGCCGCCTGCCGGGCATGCCAGGCCCTGGAACTACGCGGCGAGGTCGTTCGCGCGCAGCTCGACCTCAGCAAACGGCGCACTAGCGAGGCGCGGCGCGACCTCAGCGAAGCCAGCGAGAGTCTGCAACAACTCCAAGAAAATGTTCGGGAGGCAGTCGACGCCTTTGACGCCCAAAAACGCGAGTCCAAGCGGCACCGGGTGGCAGCGCTCAAGCAAATGAAACTGGAGGATGACAACAAATTGGATGAAGCGCTCCGTCGACGATTTAATGGCTTACCCACCACTCTGGCAGAGCTGGAAACCAACCTTCAGGAGGCAGAAGCCCGCGCAGACATGCTGTCGACAGATGACGGTGCCGTCCGGCGCTACCACCAGCTTAAGGAGAGCCAGAGTAACCTCTTAACCGCCCTGAAACAACGCGAGAACGAGCTGGAACGCTTGGAAACCAATGTCCAGGAACGTCGCACGCGCTGGCTCAATGATCTGAATGAGATTGTCACTGAGGTTAACAAATACTTTGGTCAGTTTCTGCGCGAAATGGGGTGCGCTGGCGAGGTGGCGCTCTTTGTGCCGGAGAACGGACGCGCGGCCGAGTACGGTATCTCCATTAAGGTCAAGTACCGCGCCTCTGAGCAGCTGTGCGAGCTGTCTGCCACGCACCACAGCGGCGGCGAGCGCAGCGTGGCCACCATGCTCTACGTGATGGCGCTGCAGCACCTCAAGCGCACCTCAGTGCCGTTCCACTGCGTCGACGAGATCAACCAGGGCATGGATGCCCGCAACGAGCGGCGTGTCTTCGAGCTGGTGGTGCGCGCCGCGTGCCGCAGCGGCGGCGCCCAGTACTTCCTGGTGACGCCCAAGCTGCTGCCCAAGCTGCAGTACCCGGAGCACGGCCTGACGGTGCTCTGCGTCTTCAGTCCCGTGGTCGGCAAATCGGAGGAGTGCGACATACAAAAGTACATCCAGAGGAAGCGGCGAGCCGTGGCCGCCGCCGCCGCCGCCGCCGCGCGCGGTCTCCACTGACGGGTGAGCACCGTGCACCGTGCCTTCTCTCACATATGTGTGCCATGATGATGATGTCTAGTCGAGATAATAACATTAACACATAATCTCGGGAGTGTTGAACATGGCCATGACTAGGAAGATCAGAGAAGAGAATTGAAATGAGAGGGAGAGAGATGACCTGATCGATAACAATGTATTTCATTCCTTTTACAATATGCATTATGCACTCACGTCACAAGGTTGTCATTTGTCATCACTTATCACGTTTGATAATAAACTCAGAAAATCACGCATCAGATAGCGATCGTGCTGAGTGCCCGACACAGGACGAACACCTCTGCGGTTTAATTCACTTGGGCTGTCAGTTAAACGGTTGGTAAAATCTCCAGCCCTTCCCATAGGGTGGAACAAAGTTCCTCAATCCTCTCGCATATTGCTTATAGTAGTTGAGCAGTATAATAATATTGTCGATAAACAATTATATGAATAGCGGACCGGAATCGTCTTACGACTTCAGCAGTGCTTTTTGAATACGTACTACTTATAATTAAAATAGGCGCTATCGAAGTAAGACGAAATCGGTCTGTCATTTATGTACCTAATTGTTTATTGGTAATATTCGTGTACTACTCAACCAATATACTTTTCCAAGATATATACATTATGTTCATCTTGCTCCACAGACGCTCACTAATCACACTACCGCACTTTTACAGCGCCGGCATACTTACCTGTATTTAGCGTCGAGTAACACTACCAGAGATTAACCGTAATACATTACACCCAATAGCGGCGTATATGTATAAGCTATCGTTAGGTGAGATCGTTTTGTTCTCGTCACATTATGCTTCGTCAGTCGTTACTCTTATTTAAATCAGTGACAGACTTCGCCGCCGCTCTGGGGTCACGCACGAAACACGACCATTAATCGACCGACACCCCTCACTCTTCAGCCAGCTGTGTGCTCGCCGGTTCTCTGGGTAGCCACACGGGCTGCGACTTCCAGGCGGTCCAGCCGAGCTGGCGAATTGAGATGGCCATCAGCAGCACGAACAGCACGCCCAGGTCCAGAAAGTAGCCACCGTACACCTGGAACTAAAATCCGCCGCGAGTGCGCACGTCAGATGAGGGACGGGGATAGCGGGAAGAGGGATACACATTACACAGTCAATATGCCACTTCAATGAGATCGGCACAGGGAAAACATACGGAGGGACTTCTGCTGGAATCATGCTGATGTCCACGGCGTTTCTATACATTAGATAGAATGTGAGTTGACGTCTGAAGCGCCGGGGGGACGACGTATCACTTCCCAAGAAGCAGTTGTAGCCTTCTTCACCGGATAGTGCCACCTGAGGCTCGTGTACTCGTATGTTTTAGGGCCCGTAGGTATGTTTTAGAGTCTTGCGTATACTATACGTTAGGCTCTTTAGTGCTGCCCTCTGCTTAACTTGAATCATTGGGGTGATAGTAGTGCCATCTCCTTTCTTGCGTTTTTTTTTTGTGCTGTGTGATATGGGCGAGCAAGTGCTGCCCTCTCTGCCTTTTCCTAGGGCCTGAGTGAACTACAAAGTGTTACTCCTATGTTTTCATGGCGCCTGGACGATCTGTTGCCTTCTCCTTTGCCCAACTGCCGCCAGCTAACACAGCCCTCCGTTCTCCGGCTTGCCTGGTTTACCTAGCCTTCCGCTCTACTTCTCTGGCACCGGTCACCGAGCCCTCCCTCTGCTTATCTGTGGTCTGCTTACCTAGTTCCCTCTGCGTGTATGACTCCTGCTTACCTAGCCTTCTCTCTGATTGTTCCGTGATTCCATCCTCAGGATACAGAAATCCTTCTCCTCTGCACCGCAACTCCCTCCGGGCTGGACAGGCACCTTTATCTCATGCGAGCTGCTCCCCGGAGCGGAACCGCTGCTCCCGAGGGAGCGCACCCCATAGCCGGGTCAGGGTGCAGTGAGTACCTTGGGGCTGGGTGGCCTGTCTTTCGGGACGGGCTCAGACCCGGTGACTCACAAGGGTGCCTGCCCAGACCAATGTCTCCTCCTATATCCTATCATCCTCCCGGCTCTGAAATGGTCTTATTGGACCGAAAGGGCCTAACACAACAAAACAAAACAAAACAAACTAGCTTTCTCTATACTCACCTGGGGCCTGCTTACCCAGCCCTCGGCTCCTCTCACCTGGCTCCTGTTTACCCACCCAGCCATCCGCTCTGCTCACCTGAGGCCGGGGCGTCAGGGCGAATCCCGCCTTGCTGGCTACCACGGTGGTCAGGATGGTCTGAAGCGCCAGCGCCATGAACGTGTTGATGCCGAACACCAGGCCGTAGCTGTCCTTGGGAATCGCCTTCGCCACTTGGAAACTGGCAGACGGGCTCGGTTTCAACAGCAGCTCATTACAGTAGACTTTAAAGCACTATGTGGGCGACAAATAGGGCCATTGGCTTTTGGTCCGAGGTTTCATACAGATAAGCATTAAGCACGCTAACTTTTATCATATCCCGCAAACATAGCATATCGCGCACCAGTGACTTTCTTTCATGAAGTCATGAAGTCATGAACATGACTTTCTGTTTCGCAGAAAGTCGGAAAGTTTCGTTTCTGACTTTCTTTCATGACTTTCTGTTTCGTTTTTCGCATTCTGTGGCATCTCTGAGGGTTGTGACCAATCTTCTCCAGTCCCCCCGTATCACTCTTCCAGCTAATTGAGCACTTATCATTTGGGAAGCGGTGATAACGGCACCAACATCTTTCTGGCTTTGGTTAAAACTTTCCATGAGCAACAATATAAAGCTGGAATGCTGAGCACAAAGTTTGTTCCGGATATTCCTCACAAAACGAGATCGAAGTTGTGCTGTCCCTCCCCCGCAGTGTCTGGGCTCCTACCTTGTGGTTGGGACGGCGGACAATTACAGGCAGCAGGCTCACCTGCAGATGGTGATGAGCATCTGGTAGATGATGCGGAAGAACACGTAGGTGACATAGGCGACTGCGATGTAGGAGGTGAGTGCCATGGTCAGCAGCAGGGAGCCGGCGATACAGGAGAACACGGCCAGAACGGGCTCGCCGAGAAACTCCCAGTTGAGACGGAGGTGGCCGATCGTGGAGACCGCCAGAGCGCCTGTGGAGACGGCGACAGCCGCGAGGAGACGTTGGTGAGCACTGAGTAGTGATGATGTCATAAGCGGCTTACCATTATCGATCGTTGAGTACGCCCAGGGGTGGCATGCCTGTTATGTTTTCAGGTGTGGGGAATGATTAGATATAAGTATATTTTACTTTGTAGATTCCCAACGTGGCAACATTATTATATAGACAAACATGTTTTTCCTATCTTAAACTCAACAATTAACAAAAATGAAAGTGTCCTGAACGCGTGAAAAACAGTCAGCAAACCTCAATAAGATGCAATGAGAGTGACGGTGGCATTCATTTTGTTTTGTTTTGTTGGGTTAGGCCCTTTCGGTCGACAAGACCATTGCAGAGCCGGAAGGATGAAAGGAATTAGGGGGAGACATTGGTCTGGGCAGGCACCCTAGAGAGTCGCCGGGGCTGAGCCCGTCCATAGGACAGGCCGACCAGCCCCCCAAGCACTCTCTGCACCCGGCTACGGGGTGCAGCTCCCTCGGGAGCAGCGGCGCCGCTCCAAGGGAGCAGCCCGCATGAGATAAAGTTGCCTGTCCAGCCCGGAAGCGGGTTGTGGCGTGGAGGAGAAGGATTTCAGTTTCCTGAGGATAGAAGCACGGATAGGTGGCATTCATTTTAATGGCACCCCATTTAAGCAGTTGTGCGCGCGTCTACGTACCAAGCAGCGTGTTGGACGCCTCGACCAGTCCGTTGTAGAGGGCGCCCTCGGAGTCGAAGTCCTCCCAGGGCGCGATCTCCTCCCAAAGGGGCTGTCCGTAGTTGCCCACCTGAAAGTTGCCACAGGTCGCGAACGCCCACCACAGCGACCACTGGACCACCGAAGGCGACGAGTAGGCCGAGCGGAAGTCTGCCAGCATGTACCCGCCGGCGTCCTGAAGCCACCGGCAGCACGAGCGGCGGCCCGGGTCGGTCAGCTGCTCAGTGGATCCCTCGGTCTCGGCAGACTGCGGCGGCTGCTTGTCAGCGCCACCTTCCGGCGCGTCACTAGCGTCCTCTACAGACGCGTCCGGCTTCCAGTTTCCCGCTGCCTGCCTGTGGAAGTAGATGCTGTGCTTCACGGTCGGCAGGCAGACGGCGATGCAGAACGCCACTGTGACGGAGCAGAAGGAGATGTAGTTGAGCTGGAAGAAGTTGAGCGCTTCGGAGCTGACCAGCGACTGCGAGAGAACGCCGGACGCGAACCGTCCCAGCAGCAGGGCGGCGCGAACGTATCCCGTCACCCGCTGGTACAGTGAAGAGTCCACCCGCGCGTAGATATAGGTTAAGTAAGCCACTTCAGTCGACGTGGCTATGCCGTACATAAACTCCATCAGCTGGGTGAGAAAGGTTGGCCGGTTACTTATCAGACATTCGGGGACAACATGGTCAACGGTCATCGTGAACAGCGACTAATAAAATGAAAGCGGTCTATTGACTAATAAAAAAAATATATATTTCGGGGATGTATGGTAACTGTATTATGGAATAGTTAAGCGCACTCTAAATCCCTAGGGAGCTCGAATGGCGTGGGCATGAGTGTCGGGCTGACCTGCATCTGGACGACTCCCCTGCCCCAGATGAGCAGTGTCCATGTGGCGATGTATCCGAGCGCCTCGAATATGATCATGGGCTTGTAGCGGACCATGTCGGTCAGAAGGAAGACGAACACGAGCAGGCCCAGGTAGGCGTACGTCCACACGGGGTATATCTGCTCCGACACCTGCGGTACACATGGTTAGAGATGGGACATAGGCCTACTCAGTACCTACTCACAGCTCTCGTGAGACGGGAGACAGGTAAATACGGTAAATATAGCGCGTGAGCGGGGAGACGGCCAGTCTCAGGGGGAAATGGGAACCATTGGACGGTTGAAAAGCGAGCCTACTTTTATGCCTCATAATTTATCATCGTTCTCTCTCTTCCTCGTCTCGTTTTATATCTATAATTAAATTATTTTTCTCTTCAGAGCGCGTTTGATATTTACCTATAGACGTATGAAGTTCAAATACACACAGATAGCTTGCGAGTAAGAATCGAATAACTCATTAAGAATTGCTCGGCAATTAGGAACCTGATCCCTCGCAGTTTGAGCATTGTTTCCAGTAGGTACCCTACTCTATTATCTATTTACATGGTCACGATACCAGCAATTAACTGTAAATCCTGGCAGGTTTACTTAATATATGTCTCGCACCACCATTTCTACGAATCAAGCAGTAAGACGAGTACCTACATATCCATTGACACAGTGCGTTTCTCGGCTGTTCCCTCCGCATGTGCTCACCTCCTGTTTGGTGACATTGTTGTACTTGGTCAGACTCTCGGTGAGGTAGGGCTCAGAGGGTCGCATCTCCTTGAAGAAGCCGTACGAGCACAGCATCAGGGTGACCACCCACCACCGGTTGTAGATCTCGCTGCACGAGGCCATCGTCGGCTACTGCAACGGACCTGAGGACACATAGCGAGGAAACGTGTTCCATGTCGTGAGAATCACGGCTCCGGTCTTACACGGCCGTGAGACTAAGGTGCCTTTCCTTACCAATGTTGGCGGGACTATTGGAGGCCAGAAGCCTATTGCACCCGATCTCGTCGAGCTCATGCGGTACTCCGCTCGAACTCAGTTAGTGGTAAGGGTATCGTACATATGTCTCGACCAGTGTTTGTCGAGGAGGTTCCTGAACCCGTTCAGGGTTGGAGCGAGAACTTCTTTGACCAGCAATGAGTTCCAATTAGAGGTGGCAAAATGTGGACCCGAGGACCCGGTCCAAAGAACCAGTCTGGACCCATATGGGTCCAGACCGGTTCCGGGAAATTTTCTGACGGGTCCAACCGGGTCCTTCCATAAACTATACATCTTGCACACTACATATTATTGCAAAATATGAAGTGAAGGAAGTGAATGTTTCTTTGCGCACAGTACCTCATGAGTATTTTCAGTGGGAAATAGGCTGTTTTACATGACGCAACTAATGATACTTACAAGTAGTTTGTATTAATTGACTTTTGGGGAACGGGTCCAACTGGTTCCGATTCCAACTAAGACCGGGTCCGACTGGTTCCAGAAATGTCCAGCCGGGTCTGGTTCGAGTCTGGTTCCCAAAATTTTTATCTTTTGCCACCTCTAGTTCCAATCGTTGACCGCACGTATGCCCCAGTGTTTTATTCGTGCTCTGGTCAAGGCTCTTGGTTTGGCTACCTTCACGGGATGACCTCTTGTGCTTGCCGAGGGAGCAAGATATGATGGTGGATTAACTAAATATGCAATAGAACTAAGATGCGATATACCTAAGGTGCAGGTCTCGCGGGTTTTAGCGGTGGGTTTTGCACCTAGAAAATTTAGTGTACTTCAGGCTATATCTTCGTCGTCTTAACCTTTTAAATGTTGAAGATGCTATCGACTTGTTGGTTCACAAGCCGGCCATGGTCGTGTAAAATGGCTTCATCGTAGATCGATTAGTTTCTGAGATATAACCGGAAATGTAAAAGTGCAAAACCTGCCGCTTAATCTCACGAGAGCCGTACTAATAAAAATAGGTAAGTCTATAAGTGCATCGGCCACGTACAGCCACTTCCGCAGCCGTATCTAAGCCTTTATCTTTGATAAAGGTGATGTAGTCAGCTATCTAATAAGACAGGTTACGGCTAGTTGAGTAAAAGCTGGACGTTTCGCTTAGGTATTTCAATGTTATTGAACAAAAATAAAATATCTTATTTACAGGTCTTTCGTCCCCGAATGCCTGCTGCAACCTGGGTACACCTGAGTAAAGATCTTCCCTGTCTGCTGTAGGTATATGAGTCTCACCAGAACGACTGACACCCGTCAACACCTTTCTGTCGGGCCCAGCCAGGCTCTGAGCATTCGGCCGAGCCGGCCCGAGGTCACTCCGGATGACGCCGTTACAGGGCACAATGTGTGGGTTGGTTCAGTAAAGTAATCTTGGGTTGGTTCGACTCTCCCCGACCCCGTTAGACAGGGACATCCCTGTCCCTGTCTAATTGTGTCTAATGTGTAACTGTACATTGACAGAGATCGGCAGCATTCGTGCCGGCTCCGGTACATAGCACATTTGTAATACATATCGCATAGCCAGCTGAAGCTATTTTACACAAAACGTTAATGCGATATAGACGTGAAGATAGACGCTTCGTGTTAGATATCGAGTCAAGCAGCAGATACCACTGACAAGGGAGATTCCCTGTGTCACTGGTATCGTGACAGCTGTGCGTTATCTGCGCAGTGCGCACATGTATCGAGAAGTAGGTCCAATGTCACTATCGCTTGAGTCGTATATCTCAAAATCACGGTTGAGGAGCTACTTCCCCGTAGCATGGATTCCTCTTCACCGAATGAACTTGCACCAAGTTATATAAACTCAGCTTTCCTACTTGACTGTCTCGCATATCTCAAATGATTATAGGAAATGCGTGATAAATGTGCGTCATAGATGCGATTTGGTAGGCCGATGAAGACTGAAGGTGGAAATGAAGATGCTTTCCTGCGCCGGGCTGGCGCTCGGCGCCACCTGCGACGGGCCGTCGAACTGTTACTCCTGTTCCGCCCTTATGCTCTACTCCTGGTCCATATACCACACACACCGTAAGCGGCGTTCGTTAGAGTAAATTATCAATGAATCATGAAAACAGTAGGGGAAGCGGGGGTAACACCGCCACTGTGGGAAACACCGCCACCCCATCTGGCGGCGAAAGTATGAAATGTGAAGTGTAAAAATCCGTTATTTCCTATTGACCGCACGCAGGTAAGCGTCTTCTGATTTGTGTTCCGGTGTTTCAGTGTAATCGAAGCTCAATGTGGGCATTTAAAGAAAAATGCACATTCTCTTATAAAAATTCGATGAGTTGGGAGCACTTTTGAATGTCTTTAAGTAGAGACTCATTTTGATTTACTTGATTACATCGAAAAATAACTGATCGGCTTTGTCCAGTAAGATAAGTTTGCTTGAACCGTGTAGTACATTCTTACCGCTGGCGATTTTTGCTTGTGATCACTTATTGGGGAACACCGCCACCCCGTGGCGGTGTTACCCCAATTGAGGTTGCGGTGTTTCCTGTTTGTAGCGTGATAAGTGATGAAACTCCAAAGACACGCTTTATTTATGTTCGTAGATGTTCCTAAGTCGGAAATAAGCAGCTTATTGGATTTTTTACTTTATATTTTTCATGCATCCCGACCAAGCACTTGCCAGCTGTATAAAACTGGCAAACAGCTGATGAACCTATACCTATTTAGGTGTCCATTACCGATTATTTGCGAAAATTACCACTTACCGACAGGAAACTCATCGCACACGATCTCTGAACAATTAAAAGCTTTCGTAGGAATGGGTTGGGTTAACATCAACTCCGGTGGCGGGGTTACCCACACAATTTGTAGGCAGCAAATATGCAAGGTATTTTTAAAAGTCGTGCTCGTGATACATGAAAACCTTTTAGGAGCATGCAAAATAAGTACCTAAAACACGTGAGAAAATGTTTAAATATTGTAACCAAAACAATAACTACCAAGAGACTTCACACATATTCTCTCATTTTGGCGAAAAGCTTAGGGGGGCGGTGTTACCCCCGCTTCCCCTACCTACTTCTGTTAATTCTTAGGGCAGGTCAAAGGTCAGGTCACCTTAATTCATCAAAGCTTTAACTTGGCGCACATTTTATCTTCTTTTTATAAATCGTTGCGTAAGTTGGGAACAAATGTGGAACAAATATATGTGGGCATCTACTTTTCTGCATTATTTTTTAAGCTTGTATAAACTGTAGCTACTATATTTTATCAGCTTATATATGACGTTGATTAGTGGTTTTACTAGTATAAATCAGTGTCGTATTTCTCTCGTCGAAATATTCCGAATAATTTGACATTACACAGTCAATTTGAAAATTTGACCAAAGGTCAAGTCACCTTTTATAATCACTTGACCGGAAAAGGTCATATTGAATATATAGGTCGCCCCATACCTCATTGAGCTGAACATATTCGTGTTTTCACGGCGTTAGAATATCCCAAGCAAATATTGAACGTTCATTATGACATAGGTATGACATAGGTATGACATCTATATTACTATTTAAACAGAATCCGTCTGTGAGTCTGTCTGTCTGTGTGTCCGCACTTGGTCTCCCCAATATATTGCAGTTCGCAGTTTTGGCGAAATTTTCGGTGACATGGGGTCAGTTATCGGCGCGTGGAGGTCAAACGGTTGCGAGGAGGTGGCTGAAACTTGCGCACCGCGTAGACGACGCTTCGGGCGTGTGCCTTTGCTGGGTCTGCAGTCGGTGGGGTGCACGGTTTGCGCGTGGCGCGCGCTGGAAAAGCGCAAATGAAATTTTGATCGGTTCGTATATCTTCATTGAGAGCCGGGGTCGACAAACTTTGTGGACTAAATGCATGCCGATCGGCGGCGAGTGCCTCGCATTGGCGGATCGGCAAGTTATTAATTTGAATAAAAAGTGGCGAAAAAATGTGTTGATTTTCGTTCAATGGAAACAGTTTGTGATACGAGTATACAAATGCACCATGTTTGCCGCAATGCGCCACTTTGGTGACAAGGCGCCATTTTTGCCGCAAATCGCATAATTTTGTCAAAAATATGGTCCGATATGGGTGCAATTTCGTGCAAGGGTGCATGCTCAAACAACAGGTACAGATGCGCCGCATTTGCCGCAATGCGCCACATTTGCCACAAAGTGCCATTTCCGACAAAATCGAGTAAGGGCAATGGAATGGCACGAATTATTCTGTGACCTGACATGACCCAGCGGTGTTGGTAGGGGTAGGGGTAGGGGTAGGGGTAGTGGTAGGGGTAGTGTAGTGGTAGGGGTAGGGGTAGGGGTAGGGGTAGTGGTAGGAGTAGTAGTAGGGGTAGGGGTAGTGGTAGGAGTAGTAGTTGGGGTAGTAGTAGGGGTAGGGATAGTGGTAGGGGTAGTGGTAGGGGTAGGAGTATGGGTAGTAGTAGTGGTAGGGGTAGGGGTAGTAGTAGGGGTAGGGGTAGGGGTAGGGGTAGTGGTAGGGGTAGGGGTAGTGGTAGGGGTAGTGGTAGGGGTAGTGGTAGGGGTAGTGGTAGGGGTAGTGGTAGTGGTAGGGGTAGTGGTGGAGGCAAAAGCAGGACAGTGGCCCGGGCTGATCCCAGCGGACGAGAGGTGACCATGTGACGTGGCCTGACCCAAAGCGACCGGGGCTAACCCCTTTGAACAGTCTTGACCCCGTATCACCCAAATTTCATCCAACAACGCCCTCAGAACAGTTCTTTTTTAAATTCTCTTCACATTTCCGTCCATATCTATGCTTCTAGACGACACATTGATATGAATCAAACACCATTCGAAAGCAAATTGGCTGGTGCCGCAATTTTTTCTACCACGCAGCAAAGCAAGTGGCGCAGCCGCTTGTCTATCTTACTATTTGAACAGGATCCGTCTGTTTGTTTGTTTGTCCGCCACGTCGTGTAGTGGGTTCAATTTAGCCGGCCTACAGGGCAGACGGTATATCGTAGGGGGTTGAAATTTGCACACCTTCTAGGTGACAGAGCGGGTCAGCGCCTTTTCTAGGTTTCAGCTCGCTGGGGTGCACGGTTCGCGCGTGGGGCGCGCTGGAAGTACGCCAATGAAATTTTGATCGGTTCGTAGATCTTCACTGAGAGCCGGGGTCGACAAACTTTGTGAGCTAAATGCATGCCGATCGGTGGCGGGTGCCTCGCATTGGCGGATGGGCAAGTTTTTAATTTGAATAAATAGTGGCGAGAGAATGTGTTGATCTTCGTTCAATGGGAACAGTTTGTGATAGCAATTTACAAATGCACCGCGTTTGCCGCAATGCGTCACATTGGTTACAACGCGCCATTTTTGCCGCAAATCGCACAGTTTTGTCAAATATGGCCCGATAAGGGTGCAATTTGGTGCCAAGGGTGCATGCTCAAACAACAGGCACAGATGCGCCGCATTTGCCGCAATGCGCCAAATTTGCCACAAAGCGCCATTCCCGACCAAATCGAGTAAGGGCAATGGAATGGCATGAATTATTCTGTGACCTGATATGACCCAGCGGTGTTGGTAGGGGTAGGGGTAGGGGTAGTGTTAGGGGTAGTGTAGTGGTAGGGGTAGTGTAGTGGTAGGGGTAGTGTAGTGGTAGGGGTAGTGTAGTGGTAGGGGTAGGGGTAGGGGTAGTGGTAGTAGTAGGGGTAGGGGTAGTGGTAGGGGTAGTAGTAGGGGTAGTAGTAGTGGAAGGGGAAGCGGTAGATGTAGTGGTAGGGGTAGGGGTAGGGGTAGTGGTAGTGGTAGGGGTAGTGGTAGGAGTAGGAGTATGGGTAGTAGTAGTGGTAGGGGTAGGGGTAGTGGGGGAGGCAAAAGTTGAACAGTGGCCCGGGCTGATCCCATCGGACGAGAGGTGACCTATGTGACCTGGCCTCACCCAAAGTGACCGAGGCTGACCCCTTTGACCCGTCTTGACCCCGTATCACCCAAATTTCATCCAACAACGCCCTCAGAACAGTTCTTTTTTAAATTCTCTTCACATTTCCGTCCATATCTATGCTTCTAGACGACACATCGACATGAACCAAACACCATTCGAAAGCAACTTGGCTGGTGCCGCAATTTTTTCCTACCACGCAGCAAAGCAAGTGGCGCAGCCGCTTGTCTATATTACTATTTGAGGAGGGTGCGTCTGTCCGTTACCGAGGTCCCGACTTGGTGGTGCTTTGCGTGGACTACAGGCCAGACCGTTGCACCTAGCGGGGTGAAACTTGCACAACTTATAGATCAAGGATGTGCGACGTGCCTTTGAGGGGTCTTGGCTCGATCAGATTGGTAGGGAGCGCGTGGCGTGTGCTCAAAAAGTGCAAATTCGCGTCATAGACTTTACATGTATAAATCGGCTTGCAAAATCGGGCGAAAATGGCTAAATTTGCCCGACACGGGTCCGATCCCCGTGCAATATCTCGGTAACCGTGGGCCCGATCGGTATGGGGAAAACAGCATCGTGTAGAGAATCGAACGGGCTATTGAATGGTGTGCGGTGCAGGGGATAGCACGCGCCACGTGCACCCGTGAGGATACTTTTATTGGAAAAATTGCGGTTTTTGACGGATTTTGGAAGTAATTTTATTTTTAGGTGACCGTTAAATGGAGCGAGTTGAAACAACGCATATTTGCAAGAGAAATGTACCGCCTCTCATATAAAGATGGTGAAAAGCTGATTGATCCAAATCAAGGTGGTGCAAATCACAGGAGAAAATGGTGTTTGTCAATGATGTGCCACTTTATTAATTACACGGGTTTTGCTGCATAACCTGATACCTTTGGCAATTGAATATGGTACCATTGGATAGAGCATTCAATTCTGTCCAATATTCACTCTTAATTTTTGCATAATGAGCAACAGTATTCTTAAAAATATAAATGTTCCAAACCATTACATTGTCATTTTTAGCGAAATTCATCAATGGCCCTCAAAAGACTTCATGCCAGTTTTCGAATCATTCTTAAGTAGAACGCATGATAATACGACACGGGCACCTCGATGCGATGTATCTTTTTTGTTTTATTACAAAATGCTTGGCCGTCAAAGAGCAATCGAACGAAATGGATACCAACCAAATCGACACAGACCAATCCAATACCCACGGGTCAAAAACAACCCTTCTTCGCGTTGCGGAGCACGCGGGTAACCCTAGTAGGTACCTACATAAGTAAAGGTATGACTAGATAAGTGAAACTAAAGGTAAAAGTAGGTAAGTAAAGGTAAAGGTAAAGGTACTCTAGCAAATGCATTGCTGGCGATCAAAAATGAACTCATTAGAAAACCTAAATGAGGCCGAAGCTGCAATGAGCATCGTCACAATCCCTGACAGCGGCTGTCACGATCGCTCGCCTATAGTTCACCCATGTATATATAGTATATAACTATAGTCGACTACAGAATGATGTTCCACTCCTCAGAAGCTATCAGTTGACCGGAGCGCTAAGTTGTGCCGTTTATCACGCAATCAAGTGTGTCGATTGTGAGCATTGGGACGAAGCTATAATTTGTGCACTCAGTCCGTGTGATGCGGCACAGCCTACCACTCCAGGCAAATAATTGCGCTGTGAAAAGTGGAGCATCATTCTGTAGTCGACTATACACATATCTCTGATGTCTGTTCACTAAACTCACCGTCTTATCCACTGACCCGCTCTGCCTCGTGTGTCGAGTCGACCTCAGGCACAGACGGTCCGATGTCTCCTGTGACCTCTGGGCCTCAGCGGCTCTCTCACTGTGCCTCTGTGAGTCACTGTGAGGCAACGCAGCACACACGCACCGAGTAAAAAGCACTCAAGTGAGTCAACCCAGACGCCCGGGCAGGCTTGCGCTGCGAGGATTGCCCTCCGAATAAAAAACTGCGCAACAACGCCAAACGCACAACAGTACCAAACCAACACCAGCCTACGGTCAAGCGTCACCTCTCTCCGCTGGAAAGCGCCGCGAAGGTGGGCGTCACACCGGGCGCGTGACACCGGGACGCTCCGTCGCCGTCACGCGGCGCGTCCGACGCGTTCTGTCACGGACTGCGGCCGTGACGACGAGTGCGCGCGACTCGAGACTGGGTAGTCCGGGCGGTATCGGGGCAGCCCGGCGTCTGGTGCAGAGGCGCACTCAGTTCACAGCTGAGAGGCGCCGCTCCTCCGCGGTGCAGCTGAGAGCAGTCGGCAGCACGGCGGGCGGGTTTTTGATCGCGAGGTTTAGGACATCAAGCTCATTTTTTGAATGCTCCTTTATAGGCAGGCATCCATACCCATGTACCTATTTGTCAAGCCTTCCATTTTAATATTTTTTATCTCTAATAATAGTTCACTAGGCTTGCACCTAAATCACTTCATAAAAATGCTCATGTGTAGCATGTGATTGTCGAATGCTGTCCAGAGCCTGTTGTTTTTAGCCGGGCACGACGGCCATCTGGTACACATTTGGTGCACATTTGGTGTATCATACACTGTAAAAAATGATAACACGTTTTGTGTTATATGGCCAAAAACGACTCGGTACAGCCGTATCTTATAACACGCCACCGTGTTTTCTCATACACGGTAAATCCGTGCTACATAACTCGGTATGAGTTTTGACTTTCCAAAAAGTGGTGTTCCGTAACTCGATAAAGACGTGTTACCGAGTTCGATAACTCGCCAACATGTTTCTAGCGTATCGAATAACGTGTAAAATAGCTCGCATTAAAGATGTTAAGTGTTCAATAACACCACTGGTGTTTCTGGGCTCGGATAATTATCGGCTACATAAACTTATTTGTGTTAACATATCCGGAAATTAGATGTTAGTAAACTCGCCATAAACGTGTAACGTGTTTCGTAGCTCGGTTCGTGTTCATATACTTCCCGTCCAGTACCTCCTTTTAGAATGTATATTAACGCAAAATGAGCTGCATTACACGATTCAATGATCACGTTGAATGAATATATGAATATATAATTCATGTGGACTTATTGCGATGAAAGGCGTACCTTCTTTGATGCAAACGGGGCTGTAACAGGCCCAGCCGCGTTTAAACAGAGGTAACGTCTTTAACCGCAATAAATCGACATGAAGTATACATTTATACAACTCATTCCACATAATTATTGAGGCGTGTAACACAGTTCGTTTTGCTTTAACACACATCCTCGTTAGCCAAGTTCATTAAGTCTCAGAGTACAGATCTACTCATTATATATTTCAGCAGATTGTTCACAGTAAACAATACACATGCGCTCTGAGCCTCATCAGAAGTAACACCACGGCGGACGAGCAGTGGACAGTGGTCCTCCGCGATCAGCAACACTAGTATTGTGAAAGACACCTATGAACAACACGTCTTTGAGCCTGGCGATGGGAGAGTAGAGGTGCCGTTTCACATGCATTCACTGGCGCGGTCTTCAGCTTGTCGAGCCGATCGTCGCAACGATTTTTTTAACGACTTTCCGGTCGACATTTGGGAGAGCTATTGCGTCAATACTAGCTGGGAGTTCTGAGCGCTGGGGCATTGAATTTTCTCATTGAACACGGGGAACATTGCCGCACGAACTAGGAGGCGCACACTCAGAGGCGTGTTGTCTTCGGAGATGGCAGCCTCGCTCCCCTCCACCCATGACACTATAGCGGTACGAGAGGAAATTCTAAAAAGCGTCCAACTTCTCCTGGTTCGTGTCTGAAATAAGAAAAAATAATGTCAGTAAATGACGAAGTGCATGAATGAACGGCAAAATGATACATACTCTAACCTTCGCACGGGTGGGGGAGCGTTGGCCACACCTGCCAGTTTTTTTGCGAGTGTAAAAAAAAATCGGCGAGCAGCGCTGCGAAACTTGGTATAGCTTATAATACATCAATTTCACATCGTGATGAGTAATATTTTCGATCCCGGGTCACATAAGGTCAGGTCACAGTCCAAGTTAAGTGATCATGCCTCTTTAAACTTTGTGGTTCAGTCATTTCTAAAGTATATTCGTACATCCCAGAAGTTTGAAACTCATGCTATTGGATGAGCTTGTCAGTATGAACAATTTGCATTTCTCGGAATTTTGATATCTGTGACCTAAGGTCAGGTCGATTTTGTGACCCCTCTATTGACTTTTAGTCAATGGAAGAAAATTGAAATCCGCTTCTTTTGGCCGTAAATACCCTCAAACATCGGGACACAGATGAACATGGCACAATGAACCGGAAAATTGCACCTGTGACCCCCTTTAATGCCTCTGAGGTCATCTCAGGTCACAAACCATCTCAAACAGTTTCTGAAAACACCAGGAATTTGTTCAGCTTTACAATACGAATCGAATGACTTGCAACATGACCTTTTCCGTGACCTTGACCTGAGTTCAAATTTTTAAGTTGACCTTTTCGGGTCAACTTATAGGTTATTCGATGCGTCTCCCCGACGTCATTTTTCTTTGACCTATGACATCACAGGACGGCAAGCAAGGTCAAATTGTAGCAGTTTATAATGACAAACATTTTATTAAAGTGACTTATCATTTAAAAGAGACGACAAAACGTTGATACCTATTTAGTGAGGAAGAGAGGGGCAAGTATCGTAGATATTACTCTAGACTACTTTCAGTACCTAACAAGTGCTGAAAAAAATCGGACGTCACAAGAACAGTCGCTTTTTATTTTTTAGTCTTTCAACTAACTATATCACTGGCAGTTTTACAGACACATATTTTGTTAATTTTTAGGATGTGTATGGTTACGAAACGGGAGATGTTCAAAACCGTGACACTTTTTTGAGACACCCTGTAAAGGCAATAAGGAATAAGGATCTCTCCGACATATGCTCCGTTTTTAACTTCCCTAAATTAACCCTCCAGGCGGTGGGGGGGGGGGGCATTTTTTTGCCCCCCCTTTAGTTTTTTTCGATATATCTCGAGAACCGCTGCGCCGATCGTCACCAAACTTTCAGTACCCTCCCGGGAGCAGCTAGCGCACATGGTGACCAAAATTTTTTCCAAAAGCTATGATAGGTTGGCCGCTAATGACGTCAGAGTGACGTCATTTTTGCCGTTTTCGACCCAAAAAAAGGTTTCGCGGGTAGAGCTGTCAGGCCTACAGCTTTAGAGATACAGAAAAATGTTTTTGACATAAAAGGTGTGGAATTAAAAGGGCTACAAAACTGCTATTTCGGTTTTTCGAATTTTTTTGATTTTGACCCCCAAAAATCAAAAAATAGATTTTTTGAATATAATAGCCAAAAAATCCAAAAAGTTTTTTGAATTTAGAAAAAACCGGAATATATGTGATAGCCCCTACCGCCTTCTATCTACATACCAAATTTGAGATCGATACCTCTTTTTTTGGCCAAGTTATAGCGAAAAAACTGTTCAAAATTGATGACGTCAAATTTTCAAACTCAATTTTTAGCAATTCTAGACCTCGTAGCGCAAAACAAAGACCACCATTAGACTCCCCGTGACGAGCTGCATCGAATCGATACCCATTTCATGCAAAAATATCAACTTTGAAATTTGACCTTTTTTGACCTGACCTTGACCTGACCTCCACCAGAAAGTGACCTAAACCGTATCTGATGGTCTTATAACCAACACCATTGAGTTGGAAATGAAAAACTGGCCATAAAACATGCATCGCATAACCCTAGTAAAGTTGGGCTCATGTGGTGACCCTTGGTGACCTTTGGTGACCTGACCTGTGACATGACCTGGTATGACCAGTGACCTCTAATAGCAACATATGTACTAGACAACTGACGCCTTATCGCTGATTTTCGACAAAATGCGTTTTACTCGGTGTTATAGCGCTTTCCCTAGAAGCCCCGTGAACGGTGAAACATTTTATCTTTGACCTGACCTGTGACGTCATCGGTGACCCCGAGGTCAATGAAATTTGGTTTCCTTCAACAAATTTGACAGGGCTATCGAACGCCGTTTGAATTTTCCGGATACGTCCAGTAGTTTCGGAGATACGGGGGGGGGGCAAAAAAGTGCCCCCCCCCCCACCGCGCGGAAGGTGGCTGGTAGGCCCACCGCCTGCCGGGTTAAAAAAAAAAACTGGAGGAGTTTTGAGTGTAGAAATATCAAAATATTGATATTTCTTTTTTGGAAATTTTGTGGTAGCAGTTTCCTTTGCCATGCATTTTGTACATAATGTGCGATTTTTGAGTCTTTTGATTGAAAATCTACTTTGTGATTTATTCCCGTGAACGACTTTTTTATTTTTTAGACGGAAAATGTCCGAACATGACCTCAGTTTGACCCCCATACATAACTCATGACCCGAGGTGACCTAGGACGCATTTTTCATGAGTTGAGTGAAATTGATGTCCGGAGGAGTACTAGAATCGGCGAGTTAACCCTCGCCCCGTTGGGGGGGGGCATTTTGGCCCCCCCCCTGTGGTTTTTCCTGAATAGCAAAAAAACGGCGGCGCGCAGCGCCGCCAAATTTTCAGTACCTTTCCGGGCATCAATTTGACACCTTCACACCAAATTTCAAGTCTTAGGTCACCTTAGGTCAGGAGTTATTGAGGTCAAACTGAGGTCATGTTCGAGCAAAAATGAGCAAAAAACATGCAATCTTGAAACGCTCACCAAATCTACAGTTATCAAGCAATTTCAAAGTTCTTTATATGGTCTAATAGACAAAAAGTGACGCTACAAAACTGCTATCTCGGATTTTCAAAATTTTGGGTTTTTGACCCAAAAAAAAAATCAAAAAATTGATTTTTTTAGAAAAACTAAAAAAAAATCCAAAATTTTTCCGAATTTCGAAAAAAAACCGGAATATGTGTGATAGTCCCTGCGCTCTTCTATTTACATACCAAATTTCAGATCGATATCTCGTTTTTTGGCCAAGTTATAGCGAAAAAACTTCAAAAATGATGACGTCAAATTTTTGAACTCAATTTTTAGCGATTCTAGACCTCGTACGGCAAAACAAAGACCACCATTGAACTCCCCGTGACGAGCTGCATCGATTCGATACCCATTTTATGCAAAAATATCAACTTTGAAATTTGACCTTATTTGACCTGACCTTGACCTGACCTTGACCTGACCTTGACCAAAACGTGACCTAAGCTGGCCCCAAAGGCTGCCTGACCCACATAATCGCA